TAGTCTATTATGATTCAACGGATAGATTATCCAATCCAGCTATAAATAGCATCCTTGGAAGACTGGAGAAGACATAACGAGATACAACAACACAACAAAGCTATCTCATTCACAGTTAGCACAAAAAGGCTTGATAAAGAGAGATTTCTAAACTCCTTATCCAGAAGCAAACTTCTCCTCCTTCCAAAGAGCTATAGTGTAAACACTTGAAGGTTTCCTTGCCTCAAGCACCACACCACGTTGAAGGATATTACTTTTGATCAAACTTATTGATTAAAAGGGGGTAGGTCAACTCTCTTACAAGTTGATCTTGCAAGTCCTATTGTTCGGAACTTGCAGTTGTTGAAGAAGCTTGACCTTCGAAGGAACAACAAAGCCAGCACGAGTGCAGTAGCAACATTGGTCTTGTGAAGATATACCGTGCAGAAATTCACACAAGTGTAATTGTTGGTTCATTATTCAACAACCAACTACATAGTGGATTTTGAGGACGTAGAAGGATTACCCCACCTTCGAACCTCGTTAAAGTTTGCGTGTCTCTCTCGTTTATCTTTATTCTTACTTGCAATTATATTAACTGTGAAAACTAACCCATCCATATTGATTACTGCTCACTCCACCCACCAAATTCCGCACACAATCTAAAGTTCACAAGGACTCTAGATTAACATTCATTTTTTACGTTTTCAAAAGAAACGAAAAAAAAAAATTTAAATCTGTAACAAAGTCTATTCACCCCCCTCTAGACTTTGTATTTCACCACTTTGGGACCACCATTATGCATTCAACTCTCATACATAATCTATTCACAAACTGCCAATACCTTATGTATTTTAACAAACTTTTTCTCCTAATGATGAGCACATTTCACAGATTTCCATGAACTTCTCAAACCAATGACGTTTTTTCTATTCACATAAATGAACACAACATATTTTCAATAAATTGAGAATTTTTTTTGAGCTTAAACAACCTCAACTCAATGAAAATAACAAACAAACACATGAAAACATAATAATCACTCAATAACGAATTCTAAGAAAAATGAATCATCTTATGGGGCTAAGAAGTCCAAAATCCTTAAAATCAACGAACACAAGGCACGATAAAGAATCATGTATGTATTCGGAGTTCATTTAACTACCTTATGGAGCTAAAATAGCTTCAACAAAAACTGAATTCCACATACCAACCTACTTATGAAATCAAATTATGTATTTCAACCAATTCAACAACAATTTGCTCAATAATTGAAGAAAAACTAGTTTGAATCAATTCTCATTCATAAGGGATATTAATATAAACATGAAAAAAAATCCATAAAGAACACCAACCATTTTTGGAATTTTTGGAACAAGCTAACAAATAAAAAAATGTAAAAATTAAACTAAAATCAACACTTTACAAAGAATTGGAGAAAAAAATGAAGAAATAACATATAGGGTTACCAATTGTTGAAGAAGATAAGAATATGAAGAAATTGGAGCTGGAGGAGACTGCCCACCGCTCGCCAAAGCTTTTGCAGCGGCCAAGCCGCTGCTTTATTCTCCGTGTGTTTCCCCCCTTCTTGTGTCTTGCGCTGCTCTAATTTATAGTCCGAGCCTTTCTTCCCGTTGAGAATTGCTTTCCGTTGCTGCATTGAGTGAGGAGCGAAGAAGAAGGAGAGACGTTGGAGCGTGTATATCCGTTCTTGCGTTCGAAGAGGAAGTCGCAAAAGAAGGAGCCGCTGACATCTCTTTTCATTCTCTTTCTTGTGCGAATCAGGAAAGTAAGGGATGCAATGGGCCGGTTAACTTGTTTATTAGATGATGGGTTTGGGCTCTAGCCCAAATTCAATATCTTTTTCCCAAACTTGAACTTCGTTTTGGCCTTTTGCTACACTTTTCTCCAAAAGAATAAGATATCTGATAATTTGGGTTAGGAAAAATAAAATAAAAAATAAAAGAATGTAAAAAATGATTAAAAAACTATTATTTATGAAAGAAAAATAAAAGATTGTAAAAATGAGAATTAAAATAAAACTAAGCTAAACTACTAAAAATTAAACTCCAAAAATATTAAAAATTGCCTAAAATTGGATAAAAAGTACTAACTCAAACCCGAGTTATCAGGGAGAATTTGATCAAGATGGCTTTGACGCCTTATGTGACGAATTAGGCATTGAGCATAACTTCTCGGCCCCCTCGTACACCACAACAGAATGGAGTGGTTGAACGGAAAAATAGATATCTTGAAGAGATGGCTAGAACTATGCTCAATGAGGCTAACCTTCCTAAATATTTTTGGGCGGATGCCGTGAGTACCGCGTGCTACGTGTTAAACTAAGCCGTCATTAGACCGATATTCTAGAAAACGCCCTACGAACTTTACAAAGGAAGAAAGCCTAACCTTTCCTACTTTCATGTCTTTGGATGTAAAGTTTTTATTCATAATAATGGAAAAGATAACTTGGGAAAATTTGATGCTAAGTCAGATGAAGGAATTTTCTTAGGTTATTCTCTTCGTAGTAAGGCATATAGAGTGTTCAACAAGCGTACTAAGACCGTAGAGGAGTCTATTCGTGTTGTCTTCGATGAATTTGATGCTCGCTTGGCGAGAAAAGATATTGTTGATAATGTTGCAGGTTCTTTTGACGATGAAGAAAAAACCGTTAAGGAAAAGGAGTCAGAAGAAGAGAAAACGCAGGAGCAAACGAAGCTTCCTAAGGAATGGAGAACGTTGAAGAATCACCCAATTGAAAACGTCATTGGTGACATAACGCTAGGAGTTTCTACTCATAATTCTCTTAGGAACACAATCAATCACATGGCCTTTTTTCGCAAATTGAACCAACAACCGTTTTGGATGCTATTAATGATGAACATTGGTCTTTGGCAATGCAAGAGGAGCTTAACCAATTTAAACACAATGATGTTTGGGAATTGGTGCCTAGACCTAATGATCATTCCGTTATTGGCACAAAATGGGTGTTTCGTAACAAACTCGGTGAAAATGAAGTAATCACTAGAAACAAAGCTAAGCTTGTAGCTAAAGGCTACAATCAATAAGAAGGATTTGATTATATTATGAAGAAACTTATGCACCAGTTGCACGTTTAGAAGCTATTTGCTTATTACTTGCATTTGCATCTACGATGAATTTTAAACTTTATCAAATGGATGTTAAAAATGTCTTCCTTAATGGTATCATTCAAGAGAAAGTGTATGTCGAATAACCCCCGGGTTTCGAAGACTATGAGTTTCCCGAACATGTCTTCAAACTCAAAAAGGCGCTTTACGGTCTTAAACAAGCACCTCGTGCTTGCTATGAACGGTTAAGCAAATTTCTTTTGGACCATGAGTTCAAACGAGGTCAAGTCGACACTACTCTTTTCATCAAGCTAAGAAAGATAACCAAGACATCCTTTTGGTTCAAGTTTACGTAGATGATATCATATTCGGTGCTACTAACGAGGTTTTGTGCAGGGATTTTTCCGATTTTGTACATGGGCTACAAATTAGACAATGCAAAGAAGGGACATTCGTGTGTCAAACGAAATATTGCAGGGAATTTCTTAAGAGATTCGATGTTACCGAATCCAAATCCATTGACACACCGATGAGCACCTCTTGCTATATCGACAAGGACGTAAAAGGTAAAGAGCTAGACATCAAACGGTTCCGAGGTATGATCGGCTCTTTACTTTATCTTACCGCGAGTAGACCGGATATCATGTACTCCATTTGTATATGCGCTAGGTATCAATCTTGTCCTAAAGAGTCACACTTGGTTGCGATCAAAAGGATAATGTGATATCTCGCGGGCACGTTGAACGTAGGTCTTTGGTATCCCAAAGGTTCGACATGTCATCTTGTTGGCTATTCTGACTCGGATTTTGCAGGTTGCAAACTCGATAGGAAAAGTACCAGCGGTACTTGCCACTTATTCAGTCATTCGTTAATCTCGTGGTTTAGTAAGAAACAGTTTAGTGTTGCACTTTCCACCACCGAAGCGGAATATGTCGCTGCGGGAAGTTGTTGTGCCCAAATTCTTTGGCTAAAACAGCAACTTGTGGATTTTGGCCTTATACTTGATCACATCCCAATTAGGTGTGACAATATGAGTGCTATTAGTCTAACGAAGAACCCCATTCTTCACTCGCGGACTAAACACATAGAAATTAGGCATCACTTCATTCGAGATCATGTCCAAAAGGAAGATCTCACAATTGAGTTTGTTAAAACGAAACATCAATTGGCAGACATCTTCACGAAACCCCTTAGTAGGGAGACTTTCTTCCACATTAGGAATGAACTTGGTATTTTGGACATCTCAATGAACTAATCTATTCGTGTGTTTATCTTTACTAACTTGAGCGTCGGAGACGCAATAAATCTTTTTGCAGGGTCTTTTACAGGTATTTCTCTTCTTGGCAAAATTTTTGGTTGAAATTGATGATTTTTTTGATAAAATCACCTTTTATTGTAAACCCATTCAAAACAAATGTCTCAGCACCCCTTCAAAACTGTTTTTTGGCATTTACTACATTCTAATCGATTTTTTGTAACCTCTCCTAATCGATTAGTTGGATCTGAGTAATTTTTGGCTTGAAAAATGCATCCTAATCGATTAGATTTCCTTTAGTAAAATCGATTTGTTTTGATCCTGATTGCGTTTTCTCAATTCTTCAACTAATCGATTTGTTCAATCATTGTAATCGATTAGGACAGTCTGAGCAAATTTTTGCCTCTGCTCAGCTTTCGAAATCGATTAGAACCTTGTTCCTTTAATCGATTTTTTGCTTCGTTTCAGCCCATCATATATTAGATCTGAAACTAAATCTGAACCAAACCCTCCTTCTTCCTCAAGCGGCGACGAGCACCCACGAACCCTAGGTTCGAATTCTTCATTCTTTTCTTCAATTTTTTGCCAAATCACTTAAATTTCATCTTTAATTTCATCAAAATTGCCAAGGAGAAGAGCGGAGAAGCCAACACATGTCCCAACCGTAGGTGCTATTTGGAGGTTGGACGGCCTAACCTATGTCCACACTCAAACCAACATCTGATTCGCCAACACCTTGGATGTTGAGAAGTTCCACAAAGAGTTTCTGGACAGGGAGATTATCTCGCCAAAGATTGTTGAGCCGACCCTCTTCAACGACGTCACCTATGCCCCGTGTAAAGCTCCCTTCCAACATCAAGGTTTGCTAAAGTTTATCTCCTTGAAATACGATTTTTATTGTCCTAATGTCATTCGTCAATTCTATTCAACTCTTCGTATTACTCTCGGAGATAGTCCGGATTTGATCACCCACATTGACGGCAAAACCTTTACGGTTAATGCCAAGACCTTGACGGCTATTCTTGGTCTCCGTCAAGGTGAAGTCCGTGGAAATTTTGACAACACCTTTGAGGACAAAGCCATTTGGAAACAACTCGGCATCCCTTTTCATAGGCTTTCATACGCCAACTCCTCAAACCCGAGTGTCACTAATCTCACTTTGACACAACGGGTTCTTCAATATATTTTTTGCTATGTCTTGTTGCCTCGAGACTCAAACCATGGCATCGTAAACAAGGATGACATCTGTTTGTTTCATGTTCTTTTGAACGACGTCAAATTTGATTGGGTCCATTTCTTTCTCATTGCTCTACGTGATGGCTCTCGACTCCATCACCTTCGTTTCGCCGTACCTATAATGCTTATCCTTCTTAACTCGGGAGTGGACTTTTCACGGGACATAAGGGTGCCGGTGAAGAAGACGTGCTTCATTGAAGAAACGAAGTTCATCCGTGTCGTTTGCCGGAACGAGGGTGAAATGCCTCAACGCAGAGTGAACGAGCAAGAAGCAAGCATCCATGAGAGCCAAGCCGAGAGCGAGGCCACACGTAGCAATGCCGATGAAGGACCGAGCAATGTAGGAGAAGAAACTAGCCGAGGCGCAATGAGAGAAGCCCGACGCAGACGCCCAAAACCGAGAGCGGATGAGCCCGAGCCTTCTTGGGTCCGGAGGATCTTAGATTCCATCACATGTGTACGTAATGACATCAGACATCTTTCCGATCGTGTATCCCGCCTTGAGGATTCCCGCTTCTCCCGCTCATACCGAGGTCCACGTCACAGCTTTTCTGGAGGACCCAAGCCGGCTAATTCTCTTTGACCTTGCTTTATGCTTTAATAACTATTGATTGTTTTTATGACTCAATTCTTATGATGTTTAGTCTCTTGATTATGACATTATGATTGTTCCTTGTTGGATGTTTAAACTTTAATCATTAGTATTATCGCATTGTGTGTTGATTTGACAATTTGCTTCTCTCTTCAAACATTTTGTCCCTTTGAAAATCAATTGCATTTAGTTCACCTTTTAAAGGAAACTCTTGCAAAAAATTTTCGGGAACTCTTTCTCAAAACTTTCTTTTGAGCTATCCTTCACTACCCGAGCTTAGCTTAAGGGGGAAGGACCTCTTGATAATACCAAAAGGGGGAAGGAAGGATAGTTGAGAAATGTTTTTTCAAAAACGTTTTCCGCTATCACTCCGTTTATGTCTATTTACTTCTACTTGCAGGGGAACTCTTCGATCAAAGGAAAGTACTTGTCTTGGTTCTTTTGCTCTTATCTCGACTATGTTTGTCATTATCAAAAAGGGGGAAATTGTTGAACATGAGTTCAAACCCTTTTAGATATTTTTTGTCATAAAATTAATCTTTCAGGTTTTGATAAATGACAAACACAATGAAGAACGAAAATTTACTTTTCGGTTTAAGAAAGCAAAAGACACATCAAGAAATTCACGAGTACCGGTCATTATCTCTTCGCAAGATATTGAAGTAAAGAGAAGCCTTCCGAAGACTTTTATTTCTTTGAATCTAGGAAACTTGTAAGGATGACAAAGTATCTTTTTACTTATATTTTACTTTATTGAGGGATATACATTAAAAGTTTATATTTATTTTTGGAGTCAATTGAAAAATCCTTTAAAAGATTCAAAAATATATTTATTGAGTCAGTTACAAAAGTTGTGTCAAATTTTTTTTAAATAATCTTATTACTTTTTAGAAATTTTTTTGGAAAGCAAAAATATTTTTACCCCAAAAAATCTTTTTCATCATTTGATACACAAAATATTTTTTGGACTCCATTTCTATACCCCCAAATCACAAATCACCCCATTTATTCAAAATTTTATTTTTGAATAAAACATGGGATGTGATTGGGAGCCTTTGTCTCAGGAATCCTGTTGGAACCAACAAGATATGGACAAATGTCCTTCATCAACTCGCCATTGATTGATTCTTGCTGTCTCTGCCAAATTCACTGTATTAATCGATTTCCTCTTTGTTCAAAAATCGATTTCTATTCTTTCGCAGATTGAGTTCTCTCGCCCAGTTTTTTAATCGATTAGATCACCTTTGGTGAAATCGATTTCTGGAAAAAATCGATTAAAGTCTTCTTTATTTAATCAATTAGCTACCTGTTGCGCAGAACAAATTTTACTCAGCGGCACCTAATCGATTTTCCCACTTTTGTAAATATCGATTTTTAGTCCGTTGCATCCCATACTTAGCCTATTTCATGCCCCAACGGACATATCCATTTTTCACCTATAAAATCCCTTTTCCTCCTTCATTCTACAAACAATACAAGCACTTCAATCCTCTCATCCATCTCTTTTGATTCTTGCTCCATCTCTTGATAATCAAATACTATTTTGAGAGCTATATATATATATTTGAGTGCAAAGATATTGTCATCCTTCTTTGATGGAGAATCAAAGCCAACATAAATTCCCAGCCTTCTTTGAGGACCCATTTTTGTACGATGTGGTGGAGCAATTGGTACATATACGGCACATCCAAATATTTTTATGTGAGAAATATTTGGTTCTTTTCCAGTAACCAATTGCAATGGGGAAAAAAATATGATTTGCAGTAGGCCTTAGCCGAATTAAATTTGCAGCATGCAATACAGCATGTCCCCAAACAGATGCAGGTAAACTGGATTTCATCAATAATGGTCTAGCAATTAATTGTAATCGCTTTATTAAAGACTCAGCAAGACCATTTTGAGTGTGCACATGAGCAACTGGATGCTCAACATCAATCCCAATAGACATGCAATAGTCATTAAATGATTGAGATGTAAATTCTCCTGCATTATCAAGTCGGATTTTCTTTATTGAATAATCCGGAAATTGAGCTCTCAAACGTATGATTTGAGCAAGGAGTTTTGCAAATGCAAAATTTCTTGTAGATAAAAGACTAACATGTGACCAACGTGTTGATGCGTTGATCAACACCATAAAATAACGAAATGGTCCACATGCTGGGGCAATTGGCCCACAAATATCTCCTTGAATTCTTTCTAAAAATGCAAGAGATTCAACTCTAATTTTATTTAGAGATAGCCTGACAATCATCTTTCCAAGAGAGCAGGCAACACATGGAAAATCAATTGATCTTGGAATCCTTATATTTTTCAATGGATGTCCAAGTGAATTTTGAATTATTTTGTGCATCATTACACTGCCAGGATGACCCAAACGGTCATGCCACAAAATGAATGTTTTCTGATCATCTAATTTTTTATTAGAGATAACATTCACTTCAACGGGACTAATGTGAGTATAATATAGCCCCGAGGAATACGCTGGCATCTTTTCACAAAGAATTTTATTGCCAGATTTGGTTGTCGTTAGACACAAGTATTCCTTTT